TTAAGAGTATCATAAATATTTAAGGTGTGTTTTTACATGGAGTCTGCTGTTTATGCAGTCTGTCTGTGCTCTCTTATCAAGCCACAGATAAAAAGTATTTTCACCAATCTCCCTCTCTTCCTTCTTAATCATGCAGCAGTGTGATTTTTCTACGTATGATGAATGGATGATAAAAAAAATTATGCTGTCAAGCTGTAGTTTAACTACTGTGGCAATTGTTTTGCTCCAAGCCAGAAAAAGTAGAATTTAAAATGAAATATGAAATACAGAAATGCATTCATTTTGGATGAAAAATACTACTCAACCCTTACAAAAGAAACAAATGTTAAATTAATTTTTTCACACGCGAGAACATGTTTTAATCACATGTGATACATTATGTCAAAAACCACCAATACAGATATGTGAAATTATCACATAAAATGCTTGAGATAATGTAAATTTACAGATCCTTATAAAAAAACACATGTGAAACATTTGTTTTTGCATATGATGACTTAAATTTAAGTAAAATGTCTGAAACTGCATATATCATGTGAATTTATCACAAATCATGTTCCACGTGTGATAAAATGTGCTTTTCTGTAAGGGAAACTTGAATAATTTTTTCAAAGTACACTTATCGAACACCATATGACATCACAGCTGTATTTCATAATTTGTATTTTTTAAGGCAGCAATTCTGTGCCTGCCACTTTTTCAGGCTGAAGAATTAGGAGTATGACTTTATGACATACAGCATGAGTCAAGGTTAAAGATGATGATAGGCTAGTGAAGCAGAAAGCATAGAAATCATAGAGTGAATCGACTGTATACAAGTGCTGACTGGACATATTTACTACCCACATAAGTGTATAATGACACAGAGAAACTCACACTCACACACACGTTCCCAGGGCTTTAAGTGTCTTAAATGGGCTTACATGGGATTTGAGACCCTGGCATTAGGGCGTCAGCTGGCTGTCCACACCTCTCCCTGTCTCTGTTTGTGTGCGCAGAATATAAATCTCAACAAAGTTCATTAAGATTCTTTCTTACAAGTGAAAACATTTGAATCCTGGATGTGCCTCAGCATATATTATACAGTATATATGGTCCATGTGGGAGTCTGAGTTGAAAACATATGCAAATTTGCTCATTCTGAACAAAAAAGTTTTACTGTAACTCCACATGGAGCTTTAATTTGATATTTTTAGGCGCCCAGCTATGTACAGAACCGTACAGAGTGAATGGACTGCAAACATGGCCGATCAAGATCCCAATTTTCTTTGTTTTACAGGTGGAACTTTCTAAAATCATTATATAATATTTAAATAATATGTGATTTGGTTTGGTTTTGCAATAATTGCGTAACATGACATTTAGAGGCTGGTGCTGACATTCAATGTGTACTTTTCCCTCTCAGTTTCCTGCAGTACCTTTAACATTGTTATGTGTGTGTTTATGCTTTTACTGCTTTGTGTGTTTATACTTTCACGCCTGGCTAACTCTTCTTATCTCTCTGTCTCTCTCTCTTTGTCTGTGTCTGTATCTTTGTCTCTTGTCCCGTCCATCCAGCCATGCAGCAGGTGTTGGATAATCTGGGTGAGCTTCCCACCTCCACGGGTGCCAAAGACATCGACCTGCTCTTCCTGCGCGGCATCATGGAAAGTCCCATTGTACGTTCCCTCGCTAAGGTAGCACACACACATAGCTCGGGGTAAGCAGCAGTGAGTAGTCTAACTGCTAGCCGGCTCTGAGCCCCCTCACCTCCCGCTGCTCCCAGCAGTGCTTTGCTTGCTGCGGCTGAGGTGCTGAAGTACAGTAAGGCTTTGACCAACAGAGTGCATCTGCACACAGAGGAGTTGTACAAATGCATACATACTGTCAGTAACTAGTGATGCAGCTTTACACTGCCATGCCTTTTTACTGACAGCGCAAGTATTGAAATGCGTCTGCACACAAACCATTTGCCCTAACACACATTTTCACTGCTGTAATGAGTATAGTGTGCAGTGAGTTCAGTCAGAGGACAGCTGTAGTTCCTGCTACACAGGCTGTTGTCATTTTCCGCCATTTAAGTGCTCCCCAAAGGGCTATAGAGATGACAGTTGCCTTAACATAAACAAATGCTCCTGACTTTTAACGTTGTAACATGAGGCTGACAGCCTGCTTATAGAGCAAAATAATCCCAGAGGAAAGAAAGAAACCGACATGTAGAATCCAATATAATGTCAGCGATCACTGCTACACAACAAAAGCTTTACATCCACACGTCTAAATAAATACTAACATAACACACAGAGTCACAAGAGAGCAAAACACATCTTTCATACCTCCACATACTACCTTCCCTGAGGTTCTCCGTCTCCTCCAGGCGCACGAACAGCTGGAGGAAGTGAAGCTGGAGGCGGTGCAGGACAACAATGTGGAGCTGGTGACGGAGATCCTGGGCGACATTAAGGGCCTCAAGGTTAAAGACGACAGTGCGGCCGAACTGTCCAGGATCCTCCAGGAGCCACACTTCCAGGTGAGGCGGAGCAAACACTCATACACACACAAGTAAAGATGAAACAGACGTGATTTCTTTGCCAGTGGATTCCAGGGGGATGCAGTGCACAGGTGCCAGTTGACACTACTTTTAACCACTTTTTATCCAATATTTTTGCAACTTCTTTGCATTCCACACCACTGATTGATATCGCAACTAAATGTTGATTTTACTCTTACACAGTAATTCAACCTGTAGCCACCTCACGAAGGCTTTTCAAATGATATGTGTTACCTTTATTAGAGCAGAAATCTGTAATATGTCTCTGTATGTCAGATTAGTCTTGATACATTGAACTCAGCCTAGAGTTGTAATGTTTTGACTGTAGTTACAGTACAGAGCTGATGTTTGGGATCCTGTCCTCATGCATCAGTAGAACATTAACCTTTATCCTTGGACCTACCACAGGCTTTACTCTGGCTAGACCAATAGGAGTTTGACTTATGAAGCCAGCCAATCCTCTGCACCAATCAGAGCCCTTTGTGCTGTAAGCTGAAGGATAAGACCCTTTTAACCTACTGAGAGAGAGAGAGAGGCACAGACAGGGAAGGAGGGAGAGGTGGGTTGAGAAGAAAAGAGAGAGGAAATGAGGGAAACAGATATTACATCACATATTGAGTGTGAGAGTTTAAATTGCTTGTGTCTGTCTTAGTTGGAATAGTTGGAACGTTGTGCTGTTAGCATCTCATAAAAACAGGCTTGGATGGATGGTCAGCAAACCAAGGATTAATTGATTAGATTTTGGTGGTAATCTGAATCTGGGATTTGAGCCATTAGATTATTAGTTTTGTGGGTTGGTGGGGGGGTTTAGACACAACTTAGGCTCACAGGTGTATATATGTTAATTTAATGCACATATTTATTATTATTCTCTATTTCTTCAGGGTCTTGTGTTGAGCGAAGCTGTCTTAAGACACAACTTAGGCTCACGCAGGACTTCATAGTTTAGTGTTTATTCACTGTGGTGTATTTTTCAACCCAGAGGACAGTAGATAAACAAACTGTTACAGATGCTGCAGAATAGCAAATTAGATGTTAATTCTACTAAACCATTCTACCATCTGTCGACATATTCCCCCTATACAGCTATCATCTCATTTTTGCTAATACTACTACTAATACTAATAGTAAATGCTCGAACAGCATAACTGTAGCATAAGTAGAGAAGAGTATAGTCAGCGAACTGACTCTGAAATGTTACTCACACCACTATATCTCTCTAAAGTTCGCTAACATTTGCCAGTGTAAGCTACCGGTCATACCAAACCAAGTGAGGCTGTATCAGCAAACCCACTGAGTGTATTGAATTGAACTAAGGTGTGTTTTATTCCATATTAACTCAACTTTTCATCTCTCATCTCCCCTTCTTTCTTTCAGTCTCTTTTGGAGGCACACGACATGGTGGCCTCTAAGTGCTACGAAGTCCCGCCCCCGACTGAGACGGCCAATGATGCCGCCGTCAACAGCGCTCTGATGCAGGCCGATGCTGTGCGCATGATTGGCATCCGAAAGAAGGCCGGAGAGCCACTGGTGAGCAGAGCAAGATCTGTGTCTGTGTCTGTGTATCTGCATACGTGTGTGTCTGTGTGTGGATATTGCTAGAGGGGAATGGTTGAGTACATGATTGAGTGAATCATTAAGCGTGTGAGTTGATGTCAGAACAGTAAGGTTGTGGATGAATGTGAGTGTGCATTCAAGCTGCAGAGGAAAGGCATCATCACGCTCCCTCCTTCTTCTCAGGGCGTGACATTTCGTGTGGAAAAAGACGACCTAGTCATTGCCAGAATCCTTCACGGCGGCATGATCGACAGGCAGGGTCTGCTCCACGTGGGCGACATTATAAAGGAAGTGAACGGGAAGGACGTCGGCAACAACCCCACCGAGCTGCAAGAGATGCTCAAAGACTGCAGCGGAGGGATCACGCTGAAAATACTCCCGAGCTACCGAGACGCTCCCGCACCTCCGCAGGTGAACACACACACACAGAACACGAGATGTTAATGTAAACAAAAAAGCATGCACACTTATGTAATGAGCGGCAGATGTTGGGCAGTGGCACAGGGCTGGTGATCTGTCCTACGGCCCTCCCACAATCCCCTGCGCAGGAATGTGAACCCTGGGAGCCCTATTAATAACACTCCACATGCTATCTAGGTCACACTAGCTGTTTCTGTCTCTTGCCCACACTCCAAACACACACACACACACACGCTCCCAGTAATCTCATGCTCCCTCACACGGAAAGTACAGTAATTTACGTTATTGTTAGATATTTCCCCTCATGCGTGCACCACAAATGTTTCGACCAGTTATGGCTCCTGATTTTTTTTTTTAAATCCTGAAGATATTCTGCATCCAGAACAAATAGACATAAACTTGGAAATGCTTGTAAGGCTTAAATTGAACGAATAGCAGTAAAACTGAATGAGACATAATGCAAAATCACATCCTGCTTTGTGGCTTGGGGCACACTGCACAGTATATTTTACTGGCTTGTTTTATTGCTTCCTCTGGCTGCTTGTTTAATCTAATACACCGGCCAGAGCACTTACCCTTCTTGGCAAAAGCCTCAACTGTTTGGCGCAGCGTGAACAGCTGTGTCTGGTGCAGTGGGACGTCGGACGTAATGGGTGTGAAAGAGCCACTGTCACTGTGTCAGTGCGAGAGGCAGCATGCTGAGCTTGAGTCTCTTTTTGTGTGGGTACTGTGTTTCCGCGTGATTTTATTTAAATTTTAAGCGAGAAACACTTTCCTATGACCAGAAATCTCTAAATAAATATGAATTAATTCCTGTATAAGCTCAAAACTGCACGTGTGTCTCGCAGGTGTATGTGCGGCCATACTTTGACTACAACCCAGCCAACGACAACCTGATCCCTTGTCGAGAGGCGGGGATGGCCTTCAAGAAAGGTGACATCCTTCAGATTGTCAACAGAGAGGATCCTAACTGGTGGCAGGTAAGGTTTCATCCATTCATTTCCTTTGAGTGTCCATCATTAAAGATTGAACTGGACTGAACTGTGATCTGTGGCAGGCATGCCATGTGGTCGCTGGGGCTACAGGACTGATACCCAGTCAGTTCTTGGAAGAGAAGAGGAAAGCTTTTGTCCCTCGAGACTTCGATGGATCAGGTATGTTAGTGTGTGCGTTTCTCACCTGGGCTTTGAATAAACACTGTATTTTGCTCCTGGTTAGGGCTGAAACATCAGAACGTTTCCTGTTTCTCTCTTTAGCAATGTTGATGTTGAAAAGATGATTTGGCCCAAAGTCTGTCAACTGGTTTGCTGTCAGACTTCTATCACGTCTCTGTTGCTTTTACCACTGAAAACTGATTAATAGCCAGAAGGCCAGGGTAGCCAATATTTCCAACACTTAGAAAATTATCCATGCCTGCCCTCTTGTGGCCAAATGCTGTAACAGCACAGATATACAAGTGCACAAATGTTGTGTCTTGTTTTATAGGGATCCTTTGTGGAACAATAGCTGGAAAGAAGAAGAAGAAGATGATGTACCTGACAGCCAAGAATGCAGGTCAGAAGACTTTTCATGCTGTTGATTTTTATCTGACATCTTTTGTATCTTTTTCCTTCATTGGCTAATAATTGTATCATTGTTCAAACAGAGTTTGACAGACACGAGCTGCAGATCTATGAAGAAGTGGCAAAAGTGCCTCCATTCCAGAGAAAGACGTTGGTTCTGATTGGCGCTCAGGGCGTGGGCCGACGCAGCCTGAAGAACCGACTGATGGTCCTCCAGCCCACGCGCTTCGGCACCACTATACCATGTACGTCGTGCTTGGTTTTAGTCTGTGTTTCTAATGTCTGTCTCACCCTGACACGACAAGCGTTTAACTGAGCTTTTTGTTAAGACACTTCACGGCGGCCCCGTGACGACGAGCTGGACGGCAACTCCTACCACTTCACCACGAGGACGGAGATGGAGCTGGATGTGAAGGCCGGCCGGTTCCTGGAGCATGGAGAGTATGACGGTAACCTGTACGGCACCAAGATCGAGTCTATCCATGAGGTGGTGGCCACAGGACGCAGCTGCATCCTGGATGTCAACCCACAGGTAAGGGCAGGTTTAGAAAAGGTCAAAGTTTCAGACAGGCTTAAAGGTTAGGCATGTTGGGCTGGAATTAACACATATTTCAGGGTGCTTTCAGAGAGAACATTGGGCAGCATGTAATGTCACCTACTGTGTCTCTCCTCAGGCTCTGAAGGTACTGAAAACAGCAGAGTTCATGCCTTACGTGGTGTTCATTGGGGCGCCAGATTTTGATACTCTCAAGGGCATGCACAAAGCCGTGGTGGACGCGGGCATCACCACCAAGCAACTCACGGTAGGTTAACAACTCCCAGTAACACACGCTAATGGTGATTGAGCCTGATTATACATTCACACATCTATATCTGTACCTCCATGGGGCGGCGACTGAGAGGCATCCTAATCAAGCAAACTTTAAAGTTAGCAATAGCACACTGTGAAGACACTGCTGTACAAGAAAAAGACCTACATTCAAAGATTAATAATTACCAGAGGTAGCAGTAACATTTCAGTATAAGTCAGTAAAAGTATCAAAAGTAGGGCAAAATTACACTTTTATTTGCCCCTTTAATTCCCCATTTTATATTTTATTATAGTATATCAATGGATAATTTTTACTGACACGTGTAAATTGTTTTCATGTTGTGTTTGGTTGAGATGGACCTCACTTTACATATGTTTGGGTAGTTGAATCAATAACAACATAAACCCATCTTAATGGTTGTATGTGAAATGTTAATCTGGAGGAATATTTTCTTCTGAAATGTACTGGCATAAAAGTATAAAGTAATAGACAATTGCCCAAATAAAGTACAAATACAGACATACAGATCCCCTCCAGACATCTATTAAAACATTTATACTTCTTTGAACAATAACGTGTGTCTGATGTTTTTTGTTCATTTCCCCATTAAAATCCTTAAAAAAGAATCTATTCTTCTATCTCATTAGAAATTCCAAAATCTATGAATATGCACATTTTGTTCATTTCTAAAGTTTTCACTGCAAAGTCAGTTCTCAGTGTTTGTGCACTGGTGNNGGAACAAGAAGAAAAACATATATGATAAGAGGGGGACTTTAAATACAGTACTATTTAGTAAATGTGCTTGGTTACATTCCACCACTGTCATGATAGGTTGCTTTTGATGCAAAGTAGCAGTGACGTCTTAAACTAGACAAAATAATGGAGGTTACCTGCTGTTGTTATTTCCTTCTGGAAATGCAAAATGCCTCCAGAAAGAAACTCAAATCCAATTCTTAAACCACTAATTTATTCAGTTTTTTAATTTATTTACCCACCTGGTCACTGACTCTTCACTTCCTCTGAGCAGTAATTCTGCATCTTGCGTCTGTAGCTTGTGTTTCCACAACTCACCCGTCCTTCGTGTGTTGGCAGGATGTGGACCTGAGGAAGACAGTGGACGAGAGCGCCCGGATCCAGAGGGCGTACAGCCACTACTTCGACCTGACCATCGTCAACGACAACCTGGACAAGGCCTTTGAGACGTTACAGGCCGCCGTGGACAAACTGTGCAGTGAACCCCAGTGGGTCCCGGTGAACTGGGTGTACTGAGGACCAGCTACAGTGCTCCCACTGACCACTCTGAGCGGGTCACACTAACCCACCAGAATGTGTGTGTGTGTGT